ATCTTGCTTATGACCTGTGGAGCCAAGTGCTACAGTTGTTTCGCCTTCAATAGGTCACTCCACCCTCGGTCAAGGCTCTTTTCTCCTCCCACTACGCTTGTCATTTGCCGAAGGCCGGTAGAGCATAGTGGAAGGCTGCAATTGCAACTACCATCTGGGTCATCTGGTTAGAAAGGAATGCGAGGGTCTTCCAAGCTCACAAAAACGTGGTTTCGATGCTCTTCCACAAGGTTACTACCCTAGTAACTTTCTGAGCCTCTAACCACAAGGCCTTCTCAAGGATTTCAACAAACACCTTTCTCAGCCAATGGGAAAATATCCTATATCTCCAGCCACATAAGCTCCAAAGACCCAACAACTGGCTTCCACCTCCAAAACGCGCCATTAAGCTTAATTTCGATGGTTGCTCTCTGGGAACCCTGGCCCTGCTAGCATCGGAGGTGTTTTCCGAGACCATCATCGCAACATATTGTTTAGTTACTCTAAACACTTGGACCATGAAGACTCGCAGCATGCTGAAGCCATGGCTCTGCTCTTGGGTCTTAAAAGCTTCAAAGAGTTCACAATTGCTGGTGGAAGGAGACGCCCAAAATATCATCTCCTAGGCAGCAGGCACTTCACCACATCCATGGTACCTTTCCTCAATTTTTGATGAGATTGCTAACATTTGCAAGGATATGGACATCTTATGAAAGCATATCTAGCGGACGTCCAACGAGTTCGCCGATTTGCTGGCAAAAGACGGAGCTAGGGCCCATGCTGAAGACCTTGCCCGGTCCATCTCCTTTTTTGCTCTAGACCATAGTGGGCGTACAGGAGTCTAGTTACACCTTAGCACAGATCTTATTATTGGGCAAATCTATAAGCCCCAATTTTTTTGTAACTCACAAGTATATCTTTTGTAATCGAACAGGTCTATAAGTCCAATTTTTTGTACAAGATCTCTTGACCTATATTTTTTGCCGATACACCCAACTTGTGGGTACTCTCGAACCCCTCCTTTGTACTCTAACACTCTACAGCAATACATAAGTTAACTATATCTCAAAAAAATATTGGGTGGTCAAGAAACATACCCATAGAATGAGTGTAGCTGAGATGAGAGTGTTGAGATCAATGAGTGGCAAGACAAGAAAGGATAGAATTCAAATAAATGCATTCGAGAGAACTTAGGTGTGGCTTGAATAGGTGATAAGATGAGGGATAGTAGACTTCAGTAAGCAGGCCATGTACAGTGTGGACCCAATACAGCACTGATCAGCAGGTGCGATGTAGTTCAAGTGGAAGGCTCTAAAAAGGCATGAGAAGGCCTAAAATGATATGGATGGTTGTAGTGAGAAAAGATATAGGGAGTTGTGGTCTTATTAAAGGTATGGCCCTTGATAGAGCAAAATGAAATAACAGGATCCATTTAGCTAACCCCAAATGGTTGGGATAAGGCTCACTACCATTTCGGGTTGGCCACACGAATCCTGGTCCGCCATTTTACTCTACCAAGGGTCATACCCTCAGTAAGGCCATAAGTCCCCATATCTTTTCTCACTACTTCCAACCATGTCTTTTGGGGTCCCTTGCCGTTTTTGTAGCCTTGCACTTGAACTAACTAGCACCTCCTAACAGTTGTTGTACTGGGCCAAAGCTGCGCATGGCTAGCCCACCTAAGTCTACTTTCTCTTATCTTAATTGCCTATTAGAGCCACACATAAGTTCTTCCAAATGTATTTATTTCAAATTCTATCCATTCTGTCTTACTACTTATCCAGCTCAACATCCTCATCTCAAGTACACTCATCCTATGGGTATATTTTTTCTTGAACGCCCAACATTCCGCCCCCATAAGCAAAGCTAATCTCACAGTTGTCTTATAGAATTAGCCCTACAGCTTCATTAGTATGCGGTGATCACATAAAACTCCAGTTGCACATCTACACAATGCCCACTCAGCTCTAATTCTACATGCGACATCTTCCTTAATCTCTCCATTTTGTTGGATTATCAACCCCAAATATCAAAAAGCATGCGCTTTTTGGTGTTTCTTCGTCGTCAATCTTAACTACTTCCTCGTCTCTACTCCTCTTATTGTTAAACTTGCATCCCAATAATCAATTCCAAAAAAAAAAAAAAACAATTTGCGCCTTAGATAAAGCAAAATGAGTACCCATTCAACAACTAATCTAGATCATCCATTTAATGAATTTTAAGATCTAGGCTCTTAGGAATTCAAAATCAATTTTTTTTACAATTGATTATCTAATGATAACAAAGAAGAATTTTTTTCTTTTCTAAATTTTATAGATGGCTAAGTCTTAGATCTAAACATCTCACCAAACGAATGGCCTATGTTGAGTGGATTAAAAACACTGTTTAGGGTGTGTTTACATTTCTTTTCTTTTTTGTGATTGTTCATCAAAATGAAAGAGTATATGTTTAAAAATTGAGATCAAACAAATCGCCCTCGCATGGTTTTGGAATAGTGTTTCATGATATTACTATAAAACCGTTGCATGAAATCTCTCTCTCTCTCTCTCTGTCTCTCTCTATATATATATATCATAGTCACCCGAATCTCTCACCGAAGGTCTTGATTCCCAATCTGAACCCCGATTCGGCAATTCCGACTAAGAATCTTCACGGAACCCATTTCTTATGAAGTCTAGATTCTCGATTCCTTATTTCAAGAATATCGATTCCAACACTTATAGAATCTCATGTCCAATAGTTATTGATTCTCAATTCAGTAAATGGGGAATCTCAATTCCAGACTTGTTGAAACTAGTTTCCACATTTACCGAAATTCTACTCCTCTCCTCCCTCCTCCCCCTCCCCCCCCCCCCCCCCCCCTACGGGGCCCCTTTTTCTCTTTCACTTTTTTTTGGTTAGTGATGTTTAGAATATTTAAAGGCATCAAACTACTCGAGCTAGACACTCAATCTCAAGCTACAAGGTGTATCATCGTTTTTGGTATGAAATGACCACTAGAAACCAATGTGGTGGTCCACGTTCTCTACTTGATTCTTAAAGTATGCATTGTATTGATCCAATGGAGAGATTGCAACTCCAAGATGTTAGAAATATAAATCATGTAAATATGCATGTATGGCATGTCTATCAATGAATGGCATTGAGACATGCGGTGATTCTCTCTTTGTTTTCTCTCAATTCCAAAGATGTGGAATCTCGATTCCATAAATGACAGAATCTGGATTCCATATAGTTGATTCCAAAGAGCTAAGAATCTCGATTCCATCTATGTGGGGATCTTGATCGTATCTTGGTCGAATCTCGATTCCTAAGCATAGGAATCTCGTCCCCCACGATTCCTCTTTTGAGGACGCCGATTCCAAAAACAAGAATCTTCCAGCTGGCGGCTATTCCGTGCTTCCAATTCCTAAATCGATTCAGCTTCCGAATCACTTCGGGTAACTACAAACGCGCACAAGTGCAACCAGGCAGCTGATCTGAACAAGGCCATGGTCGTGGCTGAGGTTGAGGCCTAGGTTTGAGCCGAAGTCTTAATTTTTTGGTGGCCAAACTTTTGAACAACCTTTAACCGTGATTAAGATGGTTTAGTTGCATTTATGAGTGAGGTTAAGCATCTTAAAGACTTTTTACAGAAAGTCCCAATCTTTCACCATGGCTAACCTTGTTCATCGACCTTTCATTGCAGTTAACTGAGTTCCCATTCTTTGGTCACGGTTATGACTATTGACCGGCGGGAGAAGTGTTTGGAGACCTTTGGCCATGATTGACTGTTCTCCATGATCGACTGCATTTACGAAAGTTCCTTTCTCTCTCTCTCTCTCTCTCTCTCTCTCTCTCTTCTCTTCTTCTACTTCTCTCTACTCTACTCTACTCTACTCTCTACACTAC